CCGGTTGGCCTGCTTGCTGGCTCACGTCCTCGAGACTTGTTGCTAATAATACAATAGGTTGTGTAACTCCTCTCGTGCTATCCGGAAACCCGAACATCCTCCGGATATTCACCGTTTCCAAGGATACGTTCAGTCGTCTAGGGGGCTAATGTGTTCCATTTGACCGTCGACCGGCCCCGAGTAAGGGCGTGGTGAGCGGCCCCCGAATAGTTGTGCTCACGAGTGGGGTTCGATGGGGACTGTTGACCGTGGTTCTCTGTCATGCGTCGGGAGAGTGTTTTCGTAAAACTTGCTGCTTGGGTTGGATACTGTTCGTAGCAGTTCGACAGCCAGCGTCCGAGCGGTTTGATAGCGATACTGCTTGCCTGGCCACTGAGTAGAGCTGTCGCGCCGCCGATGCGCACTGAGTGTGTCGAGTACCTGTCTTCTGGTACCCCGATGGCCTTCGCCGTTTCTTTCAGAGCTTTGGCCACAAGCACTGCACTAAGGTCAGCACACAAGTACGGGCTAGTAGTCGCTGTCGCTTTCCTGGCCTTGTAGATGGCTTTTAAAGCTTTTACTGGACAAATGATCAGATCTCCGGACGCGCGCATTGTTCGCCACGCTTCTCGGTCGACCTGGTCGTTCATTGTTCCTTCCAAGTCTATTGTTACCGATGTTGAGCTGTATGGTGATGATGACCTTCCTTCCGCGTCCGAGAAGAAGACGTTGTTCATCTTCAAACAGTAGAAGTGGCGTGTTCTACCAATTCGCAGATATTCCGATCTCCTGAGAAGAAAGAAGAAGCCAATAAGTACGCTGCCCCATAAGAGGCGATGCTGGGGCTGCTGGAGGTCGAGCCGGCCGTACAGGAGGCGCAAAAAGGCTGGCGTGATTGGCTGGAGTTTTCGAACAGGGGATGATAGGCACTTGATACCTTGTAGTAATATCGTGAAATATGGAGTTGCAGTCAAGTCGATTCCAAGATATCTGCGATGATACCATCGGACGTTTGCGATCTTCAATTTAATTGTCCCGAATGTGTTTCCTCGATGAGCTTTGTTCATCCCCTACTTCCATCAGTATGCCGCGAAGCAGCCGAGTTTCTTGTTTGCTGATCGTCCGGACTGGGGGAACCAGCGAGACCAGCCGACCCATTTGCAGAATTTACACCATTGTAGCCAGACAAAGTGATATTTTCCAGACGTTGAGTTGGCGACAGCATGGTCTCGGAGATAGTCTCCCAGAAATTCAAGAGATCGTTGTAAGGTGGGTGAACTGTGACCTGTGTCCAGGCAGAAGACGAACATGAGTCCGGTCTCTCCCTGTAGCCATCCACGCTGGGCCCCAGTGTAGTGCGGCCAGAACTGCGCTCATTAATTCTCGCACATTTATTGGATATCGCGAAAGATTTTCTGACGGTTGCGTCGAATTTCATGCGGATGTACTGTTTCAGCTGCGTCTCCAGTACGCAGAGACCGGAGTCAGATGCATCCATCAAGACGTGTCTTGACGGTGGTAGTAAATCACCAAAATACTCGACTGGAATTGAATTGAATCGGTGTTGCAGCTCCAACACAGCCTGGAACCACAGAAGATCTTCTCGTACGTCTTGAGGAATTGTACGACGGATGTGCTGACGCGTGAACGTCCCTGCGAACACTTGGAGGTTTTGATAGAATGGTCGCGCTGCAGGAAAACACGTGGATACGTAGCGTAAACGCCCAATTAGTTTGTTGATTGTGGACAATGTGCAGTTCGTGCTGCTGAGCGCCAAGGCGATTTGGTGGAGGGATTTCGATACTTTCTCTGTTGGCACGGATACAGTACCCGAAGCTGTATTCCAAATCAGCCCCAGTGCTTTTGTGGAAGTTGACCACGTCGTAAATTTTTCTTCGTTGATTGCGTTGGGCCCCAGCACCACTGCCATGGCTTTCCGTAGCGCCAAATTAGCCTCAAAGCATCTTGTCCCGGTGTCGAGCTCCACGCATGTGTGGTCGTCGCACCAAACATTCCCCACAAATGAACTGGAGTCCAAAGGTGCAAGCGCTGGCTGAGGACGTTGCTGCTGATACAGGTAGTTGATGAGGGACCCAGCTAGTGAATAATAAGCTGGTGATCCACACCACCCGAAACCACATGAAAGGTCGATTATGAGAAGACCTTCGAAGCGGAAGGCAAACATGTGCACGTGTTGGGCGCTGACCGGGATGTGACAAAAGGCTCCGGATACATCGCCAAGCATTATTAGAATGGGATGACATGGGAACCGAATTCGCAGCTCGAGGATTTGACGGGCAATATCTTTTGGTGGGTTGTATGATATCTCGAGGAAATCGACACGGTTGCTGAAATCGTTCACTGAGGCGCCATCCGGGAAAGAATAGTCGTTAATTACACGGATTGACGTCAATTCTCCGGTTTTCTCCGCCACTCCGATCGGGCTGATAAAGACGTGAGGCCATTCATCTAGCAAGTCGACTTCGACTATAAGATGGCGAGATGCTCGCGAACTTAAGGAAGATAATTGTCGATAGACTTGTGATTTTGCGGCCGGGCCAGTTGCACTTGCGGTTTGTCAGAGTTCCAAATGGGCCCCACGCCATTCTGTACAACAGAATTCCAGCGACCGACTAGATGTTGAAGATTGGGATCTGCTTGACGTGGAAGCTCAAAAGATCTTTATTGGGTCTTGGATCACTTGCTGTCTGATTGCGATAAAGTCGCACGAACTCCGTTAGCGACAGACGGCTTCTCCGTGCAAGTTGAGAGTCGGCTTTGATGAGTTGAATGTCGAGTTTGAGCTGGTCCAGCGGTTAACAAGGAATGTCGACATCGAACCTCGCCGCAAACTGTCGGTAGCGATGTATAGAGTCCGATGCCATGCTATGATCTACGGCAGTTTGAGATCGAATGAACTTGTAGTAAGCGTCATTGTACTGTTGGCTGAAATGAGAAATGTATTCTGCGGAGAGATGGTGTCTCGTATGTGAATATCTGGAGTGTGCACACCAGCTACCACTATATCGGAAGCCTGTACTTCTGGCCGAGACTGCACAGAATCGAGAGCCCGTTCTGGCGCTGATGTTGTTGACGCAGTCAGCCCTTGGGCCCCGAGTGCGGTCGTGCTCGGTACGGACTGTGACACCTTCGCCTGGTGTCACAAGTCCTGAAACTCTGATGCTAGACCGAAAAAGTTTTTGTCAATGAATGTCTTGGCATCTGCCGGTAGCGCTAGTGGCTTGAATTGTGCTTGGTTATGGCCAAAACATTGGCCTGGCGCCGGTCCGTTACAACCCTTCTTGGACAGATACTTCATGCACAGCGTTTTGTTGCCCTGTTTGGGTAACAGGGCTACAAGGTCCCGAGGGACAGTGGAAGGCTTCGGAGCGCGTTTGTCACGAGAAATGTTGGCGCGAGGTGCATTAGGTGCGCGCGTTGTCTTTGATGTCACTAGTGTCGTGAGTTGACGCTGATGGTGAGCTTGTACTCGCTCCATGAGGCGGTCGTCATTTCGGGTAAATTCGTTGGCTATTAGCGCTGCCGTTTGTAGGTTGGTCGCAATGATCTCGCCACGGAACTTGCCGAGCTTGTAGTCTATCCACGAAACCAGCGAGTTGCTGATGGAGGCGTCCGGCCGGGACGAAACTGCAAACTGCTCCATGAATGTTAAGCCTGCCTTGATAAAGTTACACACCGTGCTGTTGTAGAATCCTTCTGCAAACAGGAGCAGTGTTTGTAAAGCTCCCACGATGTCAGATATAGTCTTAGGAGGGGTGGCTGGCTGGAGCGCGTTCGAGCGGTTGAAGTTTGTCATATTGACGGAGCTTGACATGGGTTGTTGATCAATTTCGTGGTGAAATCGGCGGAAGTGCAAAACCGATAGACCCCGCACACCGAAGCTGAAATCGTATGAAAGACGGAGGACGGGGGGAGTGGCTAGGAACTGAGTTCGGGATCCTTGCTGGACAGATTCGAGGACACCTCGTGCGTTCTTACCGATTAGAGACGGGTGTACCACGGCGTCATGTACGAATCTCTCCATTGCCGATGGCCGAAATGAAGCCGATTGTGCTTCTTTGACCGCTGGAAAAGTTGGAACGTCGCCCTCCGATAGCAGAAGATCGCGTTCCGTCTCGGGCTCACGGGTGCGATTGCGGAGTGGGTGATTCTGCAGTCGGACGAGGTCGATGTCGGCCTGTACTGTCGATGGTACGTCCGTCTTCATTTCGTCTTCTGAGTCACTAAACGCCAAGTCAAGAGTGTTACCGTGAAGAACGTTACGGTTAGTGTTAGGGAGCATAGATGAGATAGCTGTTGCAGGAAGTTGGGCAAGTTGGGGGTTCGAGAAGACGGCCATTGCGTTGTTTCCTCGTCGGTCCAGCTCGCAATCCACAATATGTTGGCGGCGGACAGATACTATCTCGAGTGTATCTGGTCGAATGAGGGGGGTCGTTTCGTCTGGTACGAAGGGTACACTGAGCATCGTTGACGATACTAATGCTGGAAGGCCGGTTCTACTTTTTCCGCATGCGACTATAATCTCGTTTTGTTTGTCCAGTAGCTCTAACGCGTTTAGAGTCATCGAGTTGATCGTTGCCCCAGTTCGAAGAGCATAATTCAGGCGATCCACTGCTATCACACTCTGCGTGTCAGTAAGAGGGATACGTTGAGTTTGCTTGTCGAGGCGAACGTGGAGCACTGGTCCGTTGTCTTCCATGCTGTAGCCCGCCACTAGCCCGTACCCCCAGAGGTTGCTGGTTTCGTCTCCGGACTGGGCAAAAGCGATGGGGTGACCCACGTAGGAGCCTGGCCACAGTTCAGCCTCTTCTGCATTCACAATTCGATGGTGCAGAATTGAAGTCTCTTCGTTGTCTTCGGGTCCTATCTTACTAACGGTGGCTGTGTTCCCGTGTACTTTCGTAACGAGGATGTATGAAGAGGGAGGGTACGTGCGAGGGCCTACGAAGGCGATGTCGCCGGCAGAAACTGATCCCGTAGGCTTGATAGAAGCGGTATGGAGATTTACTTGAGGCTGACACTTTATCAGAGCGAGGAAAACTCACGAATGAACCATCTACTGTGCCGGTTGGCCTGCTTGCTGGCTCACGTCCTCGAGACTTGTTGCTAATAATACAATAGGTTATGTAACTCCTCTCGTGCTATCCGGAAACCCGAACGTCCTCCGGATATTCACCGTCAACAGTGGAAAAAGCGTGTCCGCAGTCGCTAACAAACTGGGGGTAAACAGAATGTCGATCCAACAAGCGATTAAGCATGAAAATTGGCTTGCTCTCACCAAGTTCCAGAGAATGAAATCTGAAAAAACCAAAGCGTTTGCGATTTTCGGAACGGGCTACGAAACGAAAGCGAAGACAGAGGAAGAGCTACTGAAGTGGGTCATGCGAGGATACTCACCCAAGGATATCGCCTCGACACTTGGATTATTGTGCTTGAACCGGAGAAAACTCGTTCGTCACCAGAACTACGAGGCTTTTAGAACCTTCCTGAAGTATCGACAGCAGTGGATTGAGATGACAGGAAACGGTTTTACAAACTAACGACATAAAATAGAAATGTTTTACGGCTCATTTTCTACATGTACTTCTTCACTTGTTCTTTATTGAAAAAAAACAGAACTTCGTGTTTATCTACAACTACGGAAGACTTTACAAAGAAAGAATAACGAAGTCGTGTTGCGCACTAAGAAGCTCTAAAATTTTGAGCATGGCATGTTAACAAAAACTATAAAACTGTGCAAATAGAGCAGGTGAGCGGAATCCGAGTGCTATTAATCACTTTCAGCGATATGCAGCAGCATGACCACGGTGGATTGCACCACAGAGGATCTAAAGGGTGCTCTGTTTGTGGTCAAGATTTCAGATTACTCTGTCACTTTTTTTCCCCTATCAACTGTGCGACGCTTGCGTGTTGTTCTTGGCTTTAACTGCGTAGGTTCTTTCAATCTGTTCTCTGGATATTTATATTTTCAAGAAAGAAAAAATTCTAAGGAAACTGTTCGAATAGTCCTGGGAGGCCGTGCTAAGCTTCAAACGTCGACCACAACGTCTTTGTGCTTGGGTTATGAGCAAATGTCTCAGCAAGTTTCTGAATAGGACCAACAGTGCAACATTGTACTCGAGATCTCCTTCTTTCGAAGTTCACTCTTACTAGTGGTGCAGATTATCTGAGAGTACAGTATACGAAGGGGAACAAACTACTACAACACTTCAAGTCCCCCCTGCCTTCGATCAGAAGATTCCAACGCGCATTCAACCGCAGAAGTTCGTCGAACTGGCAACATAATCGGAGCTTCCGACATTGTCAAGAACGCAGGTTGGATACCTAATCCTTAGGCTACTCACAGCATCTACTGATAAAGGGAATGTATTGGCACAACTAGCCGATTGAGTAGCATGTGGTGGCGTCACAAAATAGAGATCTGGCTATGTAAGTGGGTCCTAGGTCTCCCGAGTGGAATAAGCGGTATCGCGAAATGTGTTGAATTTGTCTTTAGCATCAAACCGAAATGTGGAAAGCACCACGTGGTAATCAAGGTCAGTTTTGAGGACGAATCTACTTAAGAATAGCACAAACAAACTCGCAGGTACGAGCTCAGAAAGAAATCTGCAGTCTAATCTAATGGTATTCCGCTTCTCGAATGACCAGGATAAAGAGTTGCTGCGGGAGCTCATACGCCTCAAGCCTTTTGCAGCGGTCCGTGGTACAACACTGCGCGTATGGAGCGATGTTGCAGCTTCGCTCTCATCTGCCTTTGGTGTGGAGGTCAACGTGAAGCAGATTCGTGACCGCCTCACGCTTCTGAAGCAAAGTTTCAAGGATTCCGAAGCTACTTCTGCTCGAGGCAGCGGGATCGAGGAGTCGGTTGATGCTGTTAATGTCCAAAGCCACTACGATGAGCGCGAAGGGCTTGTACGGGAGTATGTAGCGCTGGAAGACCACTTCAAGTCAGAGAAAAAACAGTCAAGACCAAAAAACAACAAAAGGATGAACAATTAGCCATGTGCGCTGAAGAAATAGTTCGCGAAAGCGCCCGTCGCCGGGTACTTCGCGCAAAATCTGACTCCGATGATTCTGTTTGTGTTAGTAGTGATGGAGACAGCAGTGTTTCTCGTTGTTCGACAGTATCAGGTGCATCATCACGAACACCACGATCGACACCAAAGCGGGTGAACGCATTTCAACAGGAGATAAAACGTCAAGAAAAACGTCAGCGACAAGAGTTCGAGCTGAAGGAACAGGAGCTCCGTCAATCACAGCAGCAATTTGAGCAACGGCTCATTTTCGAAAAAGAACGAGATGACCAACACCTTCGCTTTCAAGAGCGTCTACAGAAAAGCAATCAAGACCTCATCATTGAGTGTGCCAAGATTTTCTGCGCAGCGATCTCTCGAAAAGACAATTAAAATGAATAAAATCTGTCTAATTGCTGTTTGCCCTCAAATATTCTCTGATATCTGGTGGTTTGACCCTGAAGTAGTCGCTTGCAGTATTCCCACCACGAGTGCATGTTATGCAATTGGTCATTAAGATACCAACGCGATACATTTGTCCAACAGGTTGTGTACCGACACGAAGATTTGACTTGACGTCAAGTGTTTTCCAATAGTTCACCACTTGAGCATAAGACCACTCGACAGACACTCTGACCTTGCTCATCTTGCGGTTTATATCCTTTTGCGCATCGGTAAGGTTTCCAACTGCGCCTTCGAATGGGCTCAGCCTCACATCGTCGCGGCCATAAGCACAGTCACCAAAAATTCTGTAGTCGGCAAAGCGAAAATCGCTACGAACCTGGTCAGCAAGGCCGGACTTGGCAAACATCTTAATGTCGTGGTTGCGCCCAGGAAATGGCCCGAATAGATGGATAATAAGTCCATCGGGAGCGACTAGAGTCTGAAATTTGAGACCATGCTTGCGCTTGTGACCATTATAAACTGATTGCTGTGTCAACATCTTCCCAGTGCCATTTTTCCTTGGCTGCGGACGGCAAATACCTCTAACAGTGCCATCAATAAAGCTCCAAATGTTTGTGTACGGCGATCCAGCTTCGAAGATTGCATTTGAGTACACACAAAGTCGTGTAGCTGCGATGTGACCGCCAAATGCTAGTAGCTTCTTATACTTGACATCGAGAAAATTCAACGTGTGCAAGAAAATGTTTGATATCCCGCTCTCAGAGCGACAGAAGTAGTCTTGTAGCTCGGTTCCACGTACAGGAGCGGCCAGCCTATACAGCAAAATGCAAAGAGCTTCGATTGCTGATGCTTTAGTTCTCTCTCTCGTTATAGTTTCAGTCAAACCCATTAACTCAATGAGCATGACTAGTTCTGCTTTGGAAAACCTGAATCGTATGAGAGATTCATCCTCCGACACACTGTAAAAATTGAAAGGCACACGTCGGGTAGGCACCGGTTTCGCCATTGTAGCCAACTCTGAAAAGAAAACGGCAGCTTCCAGAGTATTACCAGTCTCACGGGTTTGAAGCAAGCGCTGATACATGTACGCTGAACGATGATGACGAGGCACTCCCCGCACAGCAGTCCTCACAAACCACTTCATGTCACTGTCGAGAGCGTATGCCGTAGCTTCACCGTCACTTATGACGGCATCTTCCCTTGAGTCCGGCGCTTCTCTAGGATCCATGGCAGGTGCCGCCGATTTAGCTGTGAACGGTCGCAAATTAGGTTCTTGATATAAACCGTAATAATTAGCAATAGAACAGTAACTATAGGTTGTTTCGTCCGGTTTGGTCAAGTTGGTTCGGTTTAACTTTCCTGTTGAGACCAGTGAATAGGGCAAGAATGCATATGTTCAAACCGGAAAAACACAAATTTCGGATATGCTAAAAGCCTCTATTCACGTGTGTGATTCAAAAGCAATACTGGTATACAAAAATAAATTATTAGAGGTATACCGATTGTTGTCAGCACGTTATCAATTACTCAGTTTCAGTACAGGAATGTATAAGATTTTGGACAATCCGACCATTTAATTTACGGAGAGGTGTGCTTTTCAAATGTCTGTAAGGGTATCAATTTTATAATTCATTCACTAAAGAATAGCAAGCCAATTGATGTAAAGAGGGTACCATTATAGATTTTTATATGAACTATGCGAGGAGAATCGGTAGACTCTGAAATAAATTTCAAAGATTGTATTATTATTATTTAATATCTATACAAACAGTTGTATGCACTTGCCTGCTTTTACATGAATTAAAACAATACGTATATCGCTGAGCCTACAGGGCTATTCAATGAATAATTCATGAAGTCACTACTGTTTAAAAACAGTAGTATCATACACTCTGTCAGTATTTGACTCTTGTCGATTATAAATGAGCCTCCGTAGCAAAAGGAGGTAACGTGAACTAGTTCGTGTTTGTAGGCTTAGTTCATGCGGGTGAAATTGATACTGCTTTCATTTCGATTCGCAGAATATCTTTTTATGGAAAATCTGACTGCGTAGCGCTGGTGAAGCGATCACGGTCGTGCTTCACGGTGTAGTCGGTGTTCGGTCCAACCGGAACAATTCCGAACGTGTTGATAGGTATGTGGGAACCGTAGTAATGGTCTCGAATGTGGCGGGAAAGTGTTTTCCAGTCGACCGATTCGACCACAGGAGGAAACTGGAAAATATCGCGCGTGTACTGTCAACGCACCAGACCAAGCAACCACAGCGTTAGCCGATAAGAACAACAAACACAACTACTATCTACCACTTACGTTCAGCAGGTTTGGGTACTCCTTGATCATCTTCTTGTTCGTCTTGAAATGCACGTGGTAGACTTCGTCGAACCGAATGAGGGTCGTGTACAGACGCACATCCGCCTCAGTGAACACGTCCCCCATGAGGAACCGCTGTTTAGACAAGATCTCCTCCACGCGGTCTAGGCTTTGAAACAACTTGTTCACGGCCTGATCGTACTCATCTTGAGTGGTTGAAAGTCCGCACTTGTAGACGCCGTTGTTAATATCGTTGTAGATCCACTCGTTGATGGTGTTAATGTCGTCGTGGAACTTGGCTGGATACAAATCGACCTTGGACGGAACGATGACGTCAAATGACGAGTTGAACATGCGGATGATATCAGCGGACTCATTCGAGACGATAGTGTTCTTCACTTTGTCCCACAGCACAGGTACTGTGTAGCGCGTGCTGATCGTGGAGCACTTCTCGTACAGGTCACGTACGAATTTGGCATTATTCACGGTATCGGGGGTGGATCCTTCGGACGAATACTGGCCAAGCCCCGATGGACCGGGTAGCCACAGCGTTTCCTTGGGGTCTACGAAGGCCCAGCCCACGTGGTCATCCTCCGGGTCGTCGGGGCGTGTGCGTTGGAACACGGGGTGCACCACCGACAGTCCGATAATGTCCTGCAGGCCTTTCATGTAGAGTGTAATCAGTGTGCGGTTGGCCCACGGACAAGCTAGCGAAATGTAAAGATGGTATCGGTTCGCCTCCGCGGGGAATTCGGCGTCGGCGTCGGGCTCGATCCAGTTGCGGAACTTGCTCGTTTCGCGGACGAACTTGGCCTTTTCGGATACCCACGGGATCTTGGTTGTCATGGCTTCTGTTGAAATTCTCTTGATTTTGATCACTTGATGTTCAGGCGGCTAATTTCAAAGTGAGATCAGAGATGTTCGTAAGAATTTGGTAGGCATAAGCATTTGCTGTGTATTGCGAACATTTGTCAGTCGTAATAAATCACGAAAGAACCCAGGTGTTCGGGTATTGCATACTTGAGTCTCGCGTAAGCAGCCGCAACCCTGGCATCTATGTGGGCTATAGCTACACGTGGTCATTTCTAGTGCGTAGGCTGGTTCAAAGCAAGCATGATTTTCCGCTTCTCACATTGTTAGCAAATTAAAAATTGAGTTAGGACCATGCACCGAGGATTCGTGAGTACTACTGAGTACTTGTACCTATGAAGCAGTATCCACTACATATATCCACATGCAATAAGCATATTAACGAAGTCTCGGTTAAAACGAGATTCAATAATTGTATGTCTTTTTCATACTCTTAGTTCGACCAGCTACTCGTGCGCCTTCTCTTCAGGCGTTGGTGTTTGTAAAACAACAGCTTTCAGGTCAATCGCGGCTTCGGACGCACATCGAGGTGTTCGTGGCGTTCCTACTTCGTCCATCTCTCCCCGCTCAGCGCACGCCCACGTCGTCAGCGCCACGGATGACTTGGGGACAAATGTGATGCAGAGAGCACCGAGAACCCAGGCGCCAAGGACAATTATGACATAAGCGCCGGGGTGGTTGTGGTAGTTCACCAATCCGATCGCCTCTGCGTGATCGTTACTGGTAAGCGCTTCGATTGGAAAGACAACTCCCCATGCCACAGCAACGACACTCATAATCCCCACAACAAGTTTGACTGTGGCGAAATAGAGCATCACTAGCAGCATTCTGGGCGAAAGGAAGAATATACGTTGGCAAGTACTGGTGCAGCCGTTGTTAGTAGATAGCCCACCTTGAATTCCAAAGGCCTTGCGTAGCTTGGGTTCTCGCATGGATACCATGTTCGCGAGGCCGATGTCGATCCTCGCCAGTATTTCCACGACTCCAGCGGAAAGTTGAAAGAGTACGAGGCCAACACCAAACAGCGGGAGCAGCCCCACACTTACCGGAACAAGCACCAGCACGAGAATGGCGCCACCAAGTCCTAGAAACGCGTTGAGCGTGTGGAACACAAGTAGTCGTCCTAGCCGAGACCAGAATAACAGGCAGCAGCCTGGAGGTGAAGGCGGCAATGGCGGAGAGTAGCTCTGACGGAAAATTGACTCGTCATCCGTGTCAACATCGTCGACGGCGATGGCGACGGGAACAGGTTTCTCGTTCTGATCGAAGTTCTGGCTGGGGTAGCGGTGGTAGATCACGTCCGTGTGTGGACTCTTCATGTTTGTGAGCGGTGTTGATGGTAAGCTTCAGATTGTGATCTGCTCGAGCAGTAAAACATGGAAACTACGCATTAAGTAGATACTCCACGAGTCCCACGCGGAACTGCTGGACACGCTGGAAACAAACACTGGAAACGGTTTTGTGACATTGAAGTGAGCCAGTGGAGGTACACTGTACCTATTGGTAAGCAGCTAAACCTTGTTCTTGTGTGTCGCACATAAAATAGTGTCTATTAGCCAATCGGATCCTTTCCCCAGCCCTAGGACGAGGTCTAAAATGTTGGGTGGGCAGCGCCGCCTACTGTTGCTAAAAGCCCTCGTTGGCCTCAGGTGAGCCCTGCATTCATTCCGATAAGCAGGTCGCACGATCCAGCATGGCGACGGCGATCAACGATGAGAAATGCACCGTGGAAGAAGCGGTGCGCGCTGCTGCCTCGACGGCCTCCGCAGCGGTGGACCCCAAGAAGGAGCGCGAGATCGACGAGGTCATGGAGTTCCTCAAGTTCAGCGTCAAGTCTAGCACGAACTTCGGCGGCACGATCTTGTTCAAGTTCAAGGACGCGGACGACGCTGAGCCCAAGACCACGTACGCTGTGGAGATCAACGACACGCGGCAGGTGTATACGCGCAAAAACGCAAGCGCTCGTGACGAGCGCCCCACGTGCGAGGTGACAATCTCCATGGACGACTTCCTCTGGATCTACTCGGGTAAGGCCACCAGCTCCGACCTGGCCAAGCTCTTCTACGCCGGACGTGTAGCCATCAGCGGCTACGCCTTCCGCACGGTCTCCAAGTTCGCGCAGAGTTTTGATTTCTCGTCCGAGAAGTGGCGCAGTTTCTACGCTTGGCAGAAAGCGCAGGACGAAAAGAACGACAGCAGTCGGTCGCCCAGCGCACTGGAGGAGGCAAGGAACGTCGGTTCACCTTCGAGAGATTACTGGTTCTTCCATGCTCGGACCATTTTGGACAGCTACAACGTCACCAGACTGCAGCGACTGCTCTGGGAGACCTCGCTGGCCAGTGTTTTCGGAGGGAAGATCGTTTTGGAGAGTGTGCGTCGCACAACCGCACAGGACAGGAAAGTCGCAACTGGCAGGTTCAGCGTTATTGCGAGTGTCGTGGGAAACGCAGGCCCCGTGTCTGCGGTCTTAAAGCGCCGCGCGACCGCCGCCATTACGCCAGGTCAGCTCCACTATGAACGAGAACTGCGCGCCCAGCTAGAGAGATATCTGCGTCCCTGCACAAATCAATCGGCTGCAGTCGTCGAGTCGTTTGCGGTGGGCAACCCCAACCAGACAGCGAGCGTCTTGTTCGACTTTTTCAGTGAGGATTTCGTCCAGGCTGTGAAGCTCAGCGCCAAGGAGCGCCAGCAGCGTCGTCACCACCGCAACCGTGTTGATCTGGGCGACGCTGGTATGGAACAGTTGGACAAGTTGGTGAAGGTTATCGGCAAGGGCGGCCACTCGAACCTGAAGCGTGACAACCGCTCCAAGTATGTGCCTGCGCCCGAGTTGCTGCTGCGTGAGTTTCGTGTCAACGTGACTGTTCTCATGGACACGTTGAAGGAGAAGGCTTCGGGCCGCAAGGCCCTGCACAAGATCCCTGCGCCTGAGATGGACTGGTTGGTGCGGAACGGACGCTCTGGTAGCATGGTTATTACAGAGGGCAAGCTGGACAATGCCGCTGTGCCATCACCAGCTTCTTCTGCCCTGCCCAACTTGCCGCAGAGCATCATTGTGGAAGTAAATCGTGCCAAGATCGCTCGCAACCGGAAGCGCTTTGATGTGCCCAAGCAGCGCATCAAGGCCAAGTTCGAGTCCATTTCGCGCGAGCTGGCCAACCAGAGGAATCCAGTGGTGTCGCACCTCGATGAACACTTGGTGTTCTCCGACTACCTATAAGGGACTTCTCAAGCCGCAAGTTGCCTCTTCGTAGCGAGCACCACCCTAGACTTTAGCAGCAGCACCATCTCTTTTTTATATTTAACGCAATTTTTGCGCTCCACTCTTACTTTTCTTCTTTTTCTATTCGTCAATTTCTAATCATAATTTTTTTTGCAAAATATTCTAAATCGCTTCAGCCAGTCAAAAGCGCTTGGAGTGAGCACCATGGGAGACCTGGACGACCACACGCCCGATGAGATTTACTGCGACAGCCAAGTGTTCGACATCGACTTCCATCCACAAGCAGAGATTGTGGCCGTCGGCTCCATTGACGGCATCGTCCAAGTGTAAGCCGCTCATAGCGAGCAGACAAGACGTTTACGTGGCGATGCTGACGTTTTGGCACTGTGCTTGCAGATACAAATACTCAGAGGAGGCGAACACGAAGGTGCTGGAGCTCAAGAATCACCAAGAAGCTGTGAGAGCGCTGCTCTTCGCCCCTGATGGACAGAGTACGCATATGTTAATTGGATGTTTTAGCTGATTGGGTTGAAAGGTATGCTGACGTTTGTGCTTATGTCTACAGCTCTCTACACAGCGTCGGCGGACAAGTCGATTCGCGCCTTTGACACGCTTGGAAATCCCACGTGGGCCGAGATGCGTGCTCACGAGTAAGGGCAATTAATGGCTGGAGAAGTTGTTCGATAAGAAATATTGACACAGTTCTGTGTTGATGCCAATAGCCACGCGGTGAACCGCCTGCATGAGCTGTCGGCCAATGTATTCGCAAGCGGTGACGACCAGGGATGCATCAAGATTTGGGACACACGGCAACATCGCTGTCTGGCTGAGTTCACGGAGCACAAGGTGCGTTGCTGGTTATTGGTTGTCGTTTGATTAAGTGGCCTTATTTAATGACGGAATACTTTTTGCGCTTGCAGGACTACATTTCTGGTTTTGCGACGAACCCGGCACAGGACCACTTGCTAGCAACGAGCGGCGATGGGCGCTTGTCTGCATATGACCTGCGCAAGAACGTACTGGCAGGCAAGAGTGACGAGCTGGACGATGAATTACTCTCCGTCGCGGTTATCAAGAACGGCAGAAAGATTGTATGTGGTTCGCAAGATGGTGTGCTGGTGATTTTCAGCTGGGGGACGTGGGGAGATATGTCGGACCGCTTCCCTGGTCACCCTGATTCTGTCGAGGCTCTGCTTAAGGTGGACGAGGACACTGTTCTGACAGGATCAAGTGACGGCATTGTTCGGTACGTCTGTTGGTGGTTGCGCTTGTGAAAAATGGTCGCTAACATGCTACCTTTGTTATACACAGTGTGGTACAGCTACACCCCAACAAGCTGCTTGGACTGATCGGTGACCACGAAGATTTCCCAGTGGAAAACCTCAAGTTCTCTCACGATAAGAAGATTATCGGTAGCGTTTCGCACACTAACAAGGTGCACTTCTGGGATGTGGGCTATCTTTTCGAGGAGGATGACGGAGAGGACGACGCAGACGAAAATGAAGAGAAGGCCCCGGCCGGGTTGTCGATGGACACTGAGATGCAGGACGTAGATAGCGACAGCGATAGCGATGATTCGGGCATGGGAGACGCATCTGGTGGTCGCCGGGCGTTCCCTACGGCCAACGAACAGTTCTTTTCGGACTTGTAGAGAATCCCACTCACGAAGAATTTGTTGAGACCAACCATACAATATTTTGCAGGGAATTTTTCTTTACGCATTATCTCAGTTAGTTTGATTGCATTAATACTTGCAGGCTTACTTGTAGGCTTACAAGTTGTAACACCACGTGTACTACCGTTGTATATCGTCCGAGACATACACCGGTGTGTTGATTAATAATTGTTGAAAGATACTTCAAGTGCATTCACTTTCTTGTCAGCATGATGAACTCGATAACGGTTTGGAAAATGTTAAAAATCTGGAGCTTTGGCAGATACGTCAACTTTAAAGATATATCTGTGGTGGGGCATCTTGTTCGTCATAATCAAGCCTGCTTTTCGCATACTTGGGGTATTCGCTCGAAGGCCAAGGACTGCTCGTTCCAGAAATGTCCTCTAGATGTTGCAGGAGCTCTCGAGATGTAGGACGTGCAGCCGGGTCACCCTGAAGGCACTTGTGTGCAATTTTGCGGATAAATTCCGGACACACAGGTGTCAACACGTCGAGAAGATCGTCTCTGGGGACATCGACCAGCAGCTTCCCAGTATCAAGTGACACCAGCACCACACCGAACGAATAAATATCCGACTTCTCCGAGAAAATGCGCTCTGCTTGCACTTCCGGACTGCTCCAAATGCTATCATCACCAGCTTTCCTAGACTTGATCGCAGTCGGGACTCGGCCAGCGCAATGGCCAAGTCCACAGAGTGCCGGCTCTCCTGTTGCGGAGTTCAACAAAATGTGACGAGGTTCGATAGCTCCATGAATTATTGGAGGTGAGTGAGAGTGGAGGAACGACAAGCCACGCAACACACCCATAGCAACCTGTAGTTTTTGCCGAGTCCATGTCCAGTGCTGAGCCTTCCTCCCACTACGTAGTGCACGCTGCAAGTCGCCGCTGCGGTGATACTCCCAAATTGCCGTGAGATTCTGGAACGAGTTCCAAGCAATGCCCAAGATGTTCACAATATTTGGGTGTTGTAACATTGCCGCCATGCGAATTTCACGCGCCAAACGTTCAACTGCAAGCGTATCGTTACGTTTAGAAGCTCGCAAGCGCTTGAGAATGACTTCGCGAGGTCCTAGAGTTCCAACGAGAACTTCATTTGGAGATCCATCCCTGCCACGTGAGATCATCTTGTCACCATTCACATCGATGATAGGAACGCGTAATGCATGGACGAAAGGGTCATTCTGGAACAACAACAACACCTTCGACGCACTTAGTGCGTCAGAATAATCCACCTCTGATCTTCCCGACATATTCGAGAATCGTTTGCAGATATCCACTTCCAGATCCGTCTCAAAATCGGACAATTCAGATGCGATCGAGTCTGTTGCATCGTTGCTGTCATGGGGGCCCACGAAGAAGCCGCCTCCGGGGGTGAGCGCGTAATGATCCAAAGTCGACTTCTCTATGAGTTCTTGGTTACCGCTCGACTGCTCTCGCCTTCGAAGTATGTGGCGAACAAACATGAATCCAATGATGCAAAGCAGCATAGTGAGTATACCTGCTACCACCCAGATCGCGATGATCATTCCAGAAGACCCCCTGTCACTCGACTGCGATTGCCGACGGTCTACAAGATCCTGAAGTAGACCAGGCACCACTCCGGACTTGCTAGGTGTGCACCATTCAGTGCTATTCTCCATGTACTGTATTGTCGCACACGGGATAACCCGTGCAAGCTGGCGTGGGCAGCTTCCACCGGTACTAGGATATTGCATCGTAATGGCGAAAGTCTTTAAAGAATGGCGATATGCAGTCGGCATCGGGACGTCCGCGTTGGTTACTTCTTCAGCCCAAATCAAACTCGTTTCCACGTCCACTGACGCCGCATTCGCTTCGCTTTCCGACACTAACACAGCGCATTTGGCGACCTTTTCGATCTCACTGTCAGCACACACTGTTCCACGCAACGCAGTCTCGGAGCTCATGGCATCAGTACACAAAGTCGACGGGCAATTTTGCAGATTCTGGAACTCTTCACGTGATACCACGACGCCATCCATTCCGAGATCGCAGCGCACCATGATCTCCCGTGTTTTATTGCTGCTCGTGACGACATAGCCCTGATCCCAGAGCACTAAACGCTGCATTGTTCCGCCCAAGTCTTGCCATTCCAAGTCGTTCTCGTTCAGCAGATACTGCACCTCAAGGGGTAGTGCCGTGTTGAGTTTCAGCTTTGGTGCCTCAATGCCCGTGTCGATGAGCTGCTTCATGCGCTCCGAGATCTTCATCTCGGCAAAGTTCTTCGCTAACAACAAGCGCGCGAGGAGCGTCACCAGCAGCAGCAGCCGCAATAGCGGCGCTCGATAATTCATAGAGCCCGAGATTCGCTCTGCGGCCTCCAGCCTTTTGGTAACTGGCACCTTGTCAGCGTTGAGCTCATGGGTGGAGCGGCGGTTCCATCACTTCGGGGTGCACAACGTCGCCGTTTCAGCTGCAATGTTCGGACCAGAAGTCCAGCGCAGTAGAAAACCACACAGAGCTGTACAGCAGATCTTCCAGCGTTCAGACAGCGCAAGGTTGTCCAAGCAGCAAATTGAAGTGGCCGGTGGTGCCTTAGGCCATGAAGGGACGCTGCAACCATGCGACCGACATGCTTATTCTCTCGGCTAGAGGCGTCGCTATGCTACCGTTCTCTTCACTAGGTGATATCTAGGCTGAAGCTCTCTGCCTAAGTCGCCTTAGTCGATGCACATGACCGTCATGGGACGTACAAGGTGGAGTGATACACTGGCATTGTGTAGCGTATGTATCACTCCAGTCCTTCAACCAAGTGCGTCGGTTGCATAGCCAGTTTGTGATTGGTGAACTGAGGTCCCATACAAACACCAAGACTAACCTCTCATCACCCTCTTCCTCAGCAACAACGCGGCAAGACAACCAGTTAAGGAACTGAGCTCCGCACTCGCTACTCTCCAGGCATCTCCAGCCTCCGACACTCTGTGCTGCTGGTCTGTTCGCCCCTATTCGCTTCGGCCGCATAACTTTAGAGCTGCCCACGGCCGCAGACAGGCCATCGAGCTGTTCTTCTCCCGTGTGGAGAGATCGTACTTAGTGCGCCGTCGGGTCGTCGCCAAGACAGTCAGAGCAAGAACGCGCCGCGTACGAGGAGCGTGAGGGACTCCCAGCCTGACCGGGCACTGCGAGGAGGGGCTTAGCTGGACGACGACCGGGCGACGACGAAGACGCTCGCGACGTCGGCCATGAAGAAGATGTCCCGTAAAAACTTTCGCGGGGGTCCGCTGTTCTCCAGTAAGTCGAGCAGCTCAGCAGCGTCGCACGGCCCCAGCAGCTCGTCCCCCGGCATGAACGGCGCGAGCGCTAGTGGCATCATGCGCCGTGCCACGTGGGCCGACAAGATCAGAGACAAATTGCCGCCTTTGGGCGAGAATGAGTACGAAGTGCTGTGGGAACGCGGCGTACTGGGTGTGATCTTCCTCGAGTCGGAGAAGGACGGCATCCCGTATGTATCTAAAGCCACGGAGTCGTGTATTTCCCCCGCTGTGAGCCAGGGAGACATCCTGAAGTACGTGAACGTTGTGCGCTCCAAAGACCACTCGTTCTCGGACTTTTTCAAGATTCTGGCGACCATGAAGAAGCCCGTACTGCTGCGTTTCGAGCGCATTTCAGCCAGCACTCCGTCGTCCGATGAGGACGAGGCCTCGCAGCTCTTTGGCGTGCCTCGCTCCAGCTCCACGAACGCCGTGAACAGTGCCAGTCAGTATGCGAGACAGAATGTACCTAATCCGGATGAGGGGGACCCCACGGGCAAGTTCCAGAGAGCCAATTCCGTGCCGCAGAAGGACCAGAAGCCGCCTAAAGCTACAAGAGGAGCGTTCTGGCGCGCACCGTCGGCTAAAGACTCGGTGGGGCCAGGAAACCCTGCGCAATCGGTTGGACCGAACGGTTTGAACGGGGGAAATGACCGTATGGGCGCTTCACAAGCCCATCGACGTGCTCCGAGCAATAGAGACCACCAGGTATCGCCACGAGACGCTGTAGTTGCTAACGGGACGAGGGAACACTCTTCCAATTCGCCTCTGGGGCCTCATGAGTATCAGGTATACTGGGAAACTGGCTCATTGGGTCTGTTCTTTGGAGAGGATCGAGCAACGAACTTGCCGGTCGTGACTCGGTCCACTCCGAGCGCCAATCCGGTGGTGCGACGTGCTGTTGCTGTCAACGACACGCTCGTGTCGGCTAACGGCATCAAGTCGGCTGACTATACGTTCGAGGCGTTCTTTGGTCGACTGCAGCAGATGAACAAGCCAGTGCGACTAGTGTTTAGACGAAGGCAACCTCATGAACAAGTCGTTATTGTAAAGCAAGGAGAGCAGCAGCAACAGCAGAGACAACAACAGCAGCAATTGCAGCAGCAGCTCCAACAACGTCAACAGGAGATGCGAGAGCAACAGGAAATGCGGGAACAGGAGCAGAAGCGGGAACTACTCAAGATCCGTGAACAGCAGCAGCGTGAGCAGCAGCAACGTGAACAACAGCAACGTGAACAACAGCACCGTGAGCAGCAGCAACGAGAGCAGCAACAGCGAGAGCTTCGTGAAAAGCAGCAGCGTGAACAACAGTTACGTGAAAAGCAGCTTCGTGAACAACAGCTACGTGAACAGCAAGAACGAGAGAAGCAGTTACGAGAGCAGCAAGAGCGAGAACAGCAGCAACGCGAGGAGCAGCGGCGCCAGCAGGAAGCAGCGTCACGGAACCGGACACCGTCAGTTACGATTGACACGTCGTCAGCGTCACCGGCTGAGAGCAGGGCTCTTCAGCGCAATCGAACACCCAGTCCGACCGTGAAGCGTGCATCCACTCCACCTCCTCGTCCGCCGTCGCCTCAAGTTCGGCTTGAATCCACTGATAACCATCGTGATCACCGTCATGCAGACAGAGCGAGCATGCGAACGCCTCCTCCGATCTCCCCGGTAATACCGGGCAAGACGGCAGAAAGTGTCCCCAGTACCAATTATGAAATGTCGCCGAAGGCCAATATGTCGCCCATGGTGCGGAGTTCACCGAGAGTGGATAAGTTCGACAATTCGCCGAGTGCTTCACCACATATCGGCAGCTCGCCCAAGGTGAGCAGCTCTCCATTGGTATCACCAGTCTCACCATTTGTAGCAACCAAAATTGCCAATGAAACAAGCAATCCCGCTTCATCACCCGTTGCACAAGAGCAAGGCAATTCTACTGCTCACTCTTTAGTGGAGGAAGAAGCGAACGCCTCGTCATTAAAGGAGAGTCGCCACATTTTTGAAAAATCTCATGGTAGACGGAGCCGGGACAGCAGCGAGGAGCAGCGGAAACATCAAACAGCAACAATCCCTGTGCACGATGAGGAGCCAGTGCTGTCACCCGTCAGTAAGACGACGCATCTGTCCCCTACTGAGCCGTGGGATTTACCTGAGCACATCCCGTCACCGACGATTAAGGCGGAATCATTTGAAGTAGATGAAGACGACGATATTGACGTGGGTGTCCCTGTGTCACCTAGCTCAGAATCCCATCTGGATGATGTTGCTATGGCTGAAGAAGCCGAGTTAGCACAAGAAGTGGAACTGGACGAGGCCGAGGCAGCAGAGTTGGTTGAAGAGGCTGAGATCGCTGGAGAAGCAGAATTGGCTGAAGAGGCTGAGCTTGCTGAAGAAGTTGAAGAACCAGAGCCAACAATACCATCACATCCCGTGATTAACTCGTCAGAAGAAGACGTTGAGGTCGGTATGCTTGCTGACGTGGAGGTGGGGATTGCTGTTGAGGAGACCCAGTCTGAAGTTGTGGAGGCCAGTACCTCAGAGAATGACCAGAACCCATGGGATCTCGAGCCGGAATCGAAGACACACCACCAAGACAGCAAGACTTCATCTTCTACCACCGAAAGCTCGTCAATTGAAAGTGTTGTAGACACCTCCAAGGTCGACTTTGCCGACGCACCTGAGCCCTCAGATGAGTTTGCAACTGACCCGGATATTTCCAGTGACATCGATATCGTGGATGGTGACATTATGATGCAGGAAGCCCCGAAGGATAAAGTGGAAGCCAATCCGCCGAAGCCAAGCAAGTCGTCTTTGAACGCCAATTTGGCCAAGTATAAGAAGAAGGGCAAGACTGCTCGTGGTGTCATCAAATTGCCTGCACTGACTGAAGAGGAGGCACTAACGGTTCCTCTAGTCGCGCCTAATGCCGTGAACACGACTGTCCAAGTACGTGGCCGACCGAAGCCCAAGTTCACGATGGCGGACACTCCTGACAGTACGACGTATCTAATCAAGTGGAAAGAGAACCGCAGTATCGGCTTGCAGCTCAAGGAAGTGCGGTTTGCGAAGGGTACATATCCACTAGTGACGGACGTATGTCAGGAGCCATGCTGCGAGCTGCTGCGGCATATTTGTGTGGGCGACGTGATCATCGAGATCAATGGACGCAACACATCAACGATGGGGGTGAAGAAGACTGTCAATTTCCTAAAGACGTGCACCAAGACGACTCTGATGAAGATCCGGCACGGCCCAGGGTTCGTCAACCAGCGCGTGAGTGCGACAGTATGACTGTAGCTGTAATGTACGATCAATTCCGCGAGCACGACTAGCTGGCGCCTTCAGCTCTCGCCAGGACCAAACCGGGATGCGAGCGACCGCTTCCCGCTACATTGCTTTATTTTTCCTTTTTAGTTTTTTCTTACCTCTCAGTGTCAGTGAAGTGCTCAGTGTTGGAGAGGACAATTAGACATGATTTTTGGCTTGCAGCGTTAAGAGGAGCAAAGGCGCTGGCACGACAATGAACAAACATGAACATGCTTATCTCGAGTTGCACTGTTGCCTTGACTCTTGAGTCAGGTCAGGGTCAGGTCACCTGACCGACAGTCCCGTGTTCGTCCCGCCAGCTGACGAACAGAGCCGCTCGAGCCGTGAAAAGCGCTGGACAACATCGGCGCGTCACACGTTCGACCACGTGCTGCTGTTTGCGTTTCAGCGTTTGAAATCACTATGACCATCATGACCGAGGGAGCCTCCGCTTTGTGTAAGGAGTTTGTATTTTTTTGTTTCAATTCTTGCCTTTCAAGTGCCGCTGTGGCCAACACTACGATCGGTAGGCCACGACGGAGATTCCTCAAAGACGCCCCACGCTTTGTGTGCTCTGTCGCTACTGTTTATCACACTGGTTGCACGCCTCCAGAGGCACCTTTAAGCAAGCTTAGTGCAGACTGGCGAGCCGGGTCTTGATCTTGCCGATAGCCTGGGCCGGGTTCAGGCCCTTCGGACATGTGCGCGTGCAGTTCATGATGGTGTGGCACTTGTACAGCTTGAACGAGTCGTCCAACGCACGCAGACGCTCCTCCGTCTTGTCGTCACGCGAGTCCTCAATCCAGCGGAAAGCCTGCATCAGCACTATAGGTAATAGCAATAAAAGTGTTAGAACTGAGCTTGTACACGACACTAGGCGAATAGCAACGCACCAGCGGGGCCAAGGTACTTGTCGGGGTTCCACCAGTAGCTGGGGCACGAGGTACTGCAGCACGCGCAGAGGATGCACTCGTACATGCCATCGAGCTTCTTACGGTCCTCGATGGACTGCAAGTGCTCGTGGTTGACATCACGCGGCTTGTCCGAGTGCAGCCACGGCTTGATAGACGTGTACTGGTCGTAGAAGTTGTTCATGTCCGGGACCAGGTCGCGGATGACAAACATGTGGGGCAGCGGGTGGATGCTACTCACGTCCTTGTTCTTCTTGATGGGGCTCAGACACGCCAGCGTGTTGCCACCGTCAATATTCATAGCGCACGAGCCGCAAATGCCCTCACGGCACGAGCTGCATACAAATGAACAGCCATAATGTCAGTGTCTCAACACTATTCCTCGCCTGTATGACCTCTTGTCGTACCGACGGAACGTAAGCGTCGGGTCCTGCTCGTTCTTGATCTTAATCAGAGCGTCCAGCACCATAGGACCACACCTGTAGAGCAATAAACAAGGCGTCCATTAGTCTTCCGTTCTCTACTAAAAGTGAGTTCCTCGTAGCGCCACGCACTCGTCAAGATCCACGGGGTACGTGCACTGGTAGGGCTTCTCCTTGGACTCAGGATCCCAACGGTAGATCTTAAAATACTTGATGTTCTACTCAAGCAGCAGCAGTAGCAAACGTAAGTCTCGATATGGACCTACACCACCGAAAACTATTGGGCGACGCGTACTCTCCCCCCTACGCACCTTGGGCTTAGCTGCCTGAGACTTGAGGTCCGGGTTGTAGGCCGGCACACTGAAGGCACGCAGCCCCGTGTTCACCACGGGCTTCTGGATGGAACGCACAGCCGCTAGCATCTTCCTGGTTCTGAACACCACCGTTGGAATTGGAGACTGACGGTTCTGAGAGCAATTGCGGATCGTACGTTTAACTCGCACCCTGAAAATCTAATTTCTGAAGCGTACTTAATCGAGTGTAAAATCTTATCCTCCCTTTTGAGAGGATGAATCCTTTAATATTCTATTTATTGTAGAGATGACTGATGATGCATTTTGGAAGGCAAGTATTCCGGAGGTCCACACCCTGTCACACCGCGCCACTCCATATTGCAACTGTCATTTGGCGACACTTGAAGTTGCGACATACTCAGTTCGAGACAACGCTTGTGCCACAAACTTGCGCAACGTGTTGACTTCATGGCCAAGCGCTCCTCGACGCTCAAGCAGTTCCTGCTGCGCGTACACCCCGACCACTTCCGCAATATCCCCAAGGTGAGTTCCCTAAACTCATAACGCTGTTCGTGGTGTGTAAAACGTCGCAGAATTCTGATTAATCGCTGTCCTACAGGTGCATGATGAGAATTTGCATTCTGTGAAGCTTCTAAACCAGTTTATGGACGAGCACTATGCGTCCCATGGTGGCGGAGGATCCTTGAGTTGGAGACGGCTGGCAGCTCCGAAAGAGAAGGTGGAATTTGGATTATGTTAAAGCTAGTCACATATCTGCTGACAAAATCTTTTGTTCCGCTGGACTACTCCAGGTCTACTTCAGCGTAATGGTACCGTCACTGAAGGCGCAGGAAAGTGGCGAGGAGATTAAGACACTAAAGCGGTTTCCACTTGAGCTGGCTGCCAATATTGAGGCCAAGATGATCTCAGTGTTACGAGAGTGCGGAGTCTCAGTGGATCAAAACACGGAAGAGGCGGCAGTATCTGGTACAGCAAGTCAGCATCGTCGGGTTAAAAAGAGAGGAGAAAGGAGGCCTGACGATTGGCGACGAAGCCATGAAAGCGGATGGAAAAGTCCGAGTGGCATGGACTTTGGTGGGTTTACTATGGACGAGATGTATGCCAAGGCGAATAGAGCAGCAGCTGCATCGGCTTCTAGACGGAGAAAGAAGCCAATCCAGACTTTAAAAGGATTACTAGAGTATATGAAGGAAGATGAGACGGTAGAGATCCAACAGAGGCGTCGGATTGCCTGGCAGTCGATTCAATCGGTCAGAGGCACACTGAAGCGCGAGCTGGGCCTTGAAGACGTGCTATTCTCATGCGGATGGTCTACGATGCATCTGAACACGACGGCCATGATCCTTCTGCAAACGCTACGCAAGTATACGCGAGCCAACAAGCAAGGTATCTTCACTCCCAAGGACTTTTTGCACGGTGCCACGATTGACATCAGGTAAGCCTGTACTTGTATACACGAAGACTGTTTTCGATTCGAGATGTTAATATGTTCGCTCATTCTTACACAGTGCCAATCCTTCAGGGATAGATTTCAGCAACGAATATCGGATCGTACTGAACCCTGCAGATGTCCCCGTACAGTGGATCCAAGTCCTCGAGACTATTGATGCAAATATGGTATTGTTCATGAAAGCAGCTCGTGAAAGTCTAAAGTCATTGCAGACTGATGCAACTGCTGCTCTTGGAGAAGCAAACATCTCAAGGGGTCACACATGCTCAGCTATCGGCTATCGGGCATTTCTGCAAAGAATGAGGCAACGTGACGCTGCGTACGATAGCGAACAAGGTTTAATGGAGAAGTTCACACTTGTGATTGAAGACGAATCGTACGACTGGAGAGTTCTGGAGACCGGAGAAGTGCGAGCTCCGTTTACCAGTTCGTACGGAGAAGTCGTCACGTTTCTTAGCAGGAATCGCTCGCAGATTCGCCGTCAGCAAGAGACCCACACTGCCAACTTAGAGGCATTCGCATACATTTCTTCCCGATGCGTGGATGCCATGTACGTCAAGAGTATCACGCGTGACGAGGGGATTCCACTGGCAGACGCCATCGTGGCTTGCGAAGAGCTGCTGAAAGCTGTGGCTGGGATGACACCGCAGAGTTCCAGATGTTCCATTCCGCAGGATATGGTGCGCTTCCTTGATGCGTACACACAAGGCCGCAGCATTTGCATCAGCCGCACGTACGGACTGGGTCAAGACGGAGTCTTCACGCTGCCTTTCGATTGGTTCAAATGGTAAACTTCAACTTGCCTGTAATATCTTGTTCCGGATAAGCTAAACGGATGAAACGTATATTTCTGACTACAAAATATAATATTCAGTTGAAATGGAGGAAGAGCTGCGGGAGCTTCGTCTTGAGCTCAAGGTGCTCGATACGTATGCTCTAGGAGAGCTCCAGCCACTGACATTGATTTATTTTGTGCGGTGATAGGCGGCACGTAATGACGCGAAGCGATACGCTAGCTATGCACTGCGTTTGCAGCAGGAACTGGCTCGGGAGAAGCAAAAGGGTGGGGAACAAGATAAAGACAACGATATTTTGGATGAGGACTTCTTCCATTTTGACGAGAAGTACGCCAGGACAGCAAAAACTTTTGCATGGGACAAGAAAGTGGAGAAATTCAGGAAGAGGCAAGATGTATGGAGCCGCAAGATCGATCAAGTGGCGCAAATGATAACCGAAAGACGCAGTGGAGCTGAGGAGAAAGACGCAATTCTAGACAATCAGGTGGAGGAGAGTGTGGATGGTGTGGTGGAGAGGTTGGTACCATTTCTACAGCAGCAGAAGCGTTTGATTGGAGATATTGGTAGAGAGAATGTCAAGCTGCGTGATATGCTGCGTGCCCGGCCGACGCGCCGGGAATTGGTGGTTAGTTGGCTGCTTTGTTATCCGAGATTGTGACGTTTCATTGACGTGGTGGGTCTCTGATAGGCTTCACAGCTTGAGGTTGAGCGGCTGCAGAAGCGTGTGCAGAAGCTGCGTGGAAGAGCGAACACTACTGAAGGTCAAGACCCCAGAAAAATGCCGCAAGAGCATCAATCGGCCAGTGGTGAACACGTTTCTGTGAAGGAATCATCACTTTCGGAGCGGAGAACAGAAGAAAGACTACTACAAATGCTACGAGTCAATACAACGCAGCATAAGTATTTGAAGGAGAAGCTGCACTGCTATCTCTCCTTGGATACAGCCAGATTGGCAAAGCAGCAGGAATTAACTGAGGCTGGCATTTTAGAGCGTGTTGGCCGGATCTGCTCGAACATCGTCGCCTCGTGTTGCTACACTCTGGAGGTTGATGACGTTGGTGAGCTGCCCAACTGCGTGACAAAGGCACATCAACTTGCGCAAGTTTCAACAACCTACCAGGATTTCGTCGAGCGGATCGAAAAACTTCTTAAGCGGTTTGATAAGGTGAATAAGCTGTATTCAAGCTACTCATGCACTTTTAGCTGACGGTTTTGTTGGCAGGATGCCTTCTACTCTACATGGGCTGAGTTCACAGCAGATACTTCCTGTCACGAAGCTTTAGAGATGGTAATGAGTAACTCCGCGTAACCTGATACGAGTACTTATTTACGGCGTGATATTGTTACAGATTGTTTCTCATGTGAACGACGTGCTTGTGGAGCTGGATGCACGCCGTGAACAAATGAAGCCACCAGGTTCGAAAGCCCATGAAGTTTTAATGGCTAGCATGAAGTTACTTCAGGTTGCTCGTGTTGATCAACTGACACCAACTATCAGGGTATGAAGGACAACTTCGATGAAGCGGAAGTGATGAACTCACCCAAATGATTTTATTACTCACAGCGTCTTGTAGACAACATGCGTGCAGAGCAGGAATTCCAGCGCGGCTTGCGCGATCTTTTTGGTTTGGACGACTCGGCGAACAGGAAACAGATCTTACACGTTGCCTCCATTCTCTTCGGTGAGCTTGGATTTCTTCCTGGTAACGCATAGGTACGATTCAGGCATTTATCTCGCACCGTTCGTCTAGTTTGTAGCAAGTTCTATCTTTCTTGCCTCGGTGTAAGCTGTGTGCAGCGTGGCTACAACTTCTGTAGAATGCTCCAGCAAGAAAGCAAGCGTAATTTTCCCAGCTTTTTCTTCAAACTTCGCTTGCAGTGCTCTTCCGATGACTTTGTCACTCGGGTAAAGCTCCAGTGATTGCTGCGCTTTAGCGTGCACTATCTTCGGCTTCTTGGCTGGTGTGGCTTCAGTCTCAACATCCACAATAGACCGTCGATATTTCCGCCAGATGTGCCACGCCGTCTTCACGTGCTCCTTCTCCACTCGCTCCCGAATCTCCTTCGCACAGTCCTTTTCCTTTCCAAGCCACTGCAGCACGCAGCGTCTCTCATATCGTCTGGCAAACAGACACAACTCTTGCTCCTCATCGTGGTTATCCTCATGTTTATTCGTCAGCTTTTCCACACAGAAAAACCACTTCTTCGCCGTCGTCGTGTGTGGAAACGATACAAACGTCTCTGCACGGTTAAAACCCACTCGTAGCGCAGTCTTCTCCATCATGTCCACGTAAGCCAAACCCGACGGGTAGACCTGGAAGACCGCTCGAGAGTCCCGATCGCTGGAAAGCTGTGCCAACAGTGAAGAGAAGCAGATCTCCAGTCCCTTGGGCTGTAGCCACTGCAACATTGAGATCCCAATTGCAGCATCCAGTATGCCTTCTCGAAGCGGGAGCTTCTGTGCTGCGTTGCCGCAGTAGAAGTCTGCACACACTTGACTCTCTTCCTGTCGCTCCTTTGACGCAAGGGACAACATTGATGCGCTGATATCGAATGCCAGTGTGAAAGCTGCGGTTTTCCTCTCGTTGAACCAGTCCTGAGCTGCCTTTGTGCTCAATCCCGAGCCAGCGCCCAAGTCTAAGAGGAACACATTTTCAACTTGGAAATGTGTTAATTCCAACTGCAACAACTCCAGAGCGTGTCCCGTCAGGTCCTTTTGGATGCTGGCGTTTGCAGCGGTGGTGTAGACACTAGACTGCTTCTCGCTGTAGAAATCGCGGGCGGCAGCCGACAACGGCGTCGCCAACGCATTGCCTCGCTCCTCAGGTCGCAGACTCCTGAAAGGCATGGCGGCAAATTACAGTACCGCAACAGTATTGTTTTCATTTAGACAATTTATTGTAGTTTTGAACAAGTATCCGTGTGAATAAATAATTTGCGGTTAAATAGCGTAAAATCAGGTTGAAACGCGAAAAACCGTTTGGTCACTGGGCGATTGATCATTCGTGTCTTCGATATCACGAGCTGTTGGAGTTTCAGCGTGGCCAGAGCGACGTGAGCTTGATGCTCGATGGCTGGAAGTCGAGCGCCCGGTATCCCGTCGGAAGCATAACAGTATCGCAACAATAGGCGAGACGCACGCGAGAACTGCAGCTCCCGCAGCGGCGCCACCGAGGAATACACCCAAAGCTGCAAGCCCCAACACCAACACGATTGGAGCGAGCAGAATGTATCCAGATACGCAGAAACACGTTGTGAAAGCTTGTCGAAATGTGAGGTGGGCGTGAGCTGTACAAGGAAGAAAGAAGCAGCACATGATGCTGAACACCACAGCCATAACGAACGCCGGCGGACCGAAGATCACGAAGAAGAGTATCCTCATCACCAAGCCAATACCCTTTTGAGTCGCTCCTTGGCCCTCAATATCCGCCATTTGGTTGCCTGCACAGCCACGAACGTTCCACCACTGCAACAAGCAGAAAGAAGGCACATTAGACGTTAGTTCCATTGGCTAACACACTGTCCAAAGGATCCAAGTTCCAGTACCTGGAAGTGCTCGGGGAATACAGTATCATCGATAACCTTAAGGCAGATCCAGCAGAAGCTGGTATTGCAGACGACACATTTCATCTGGTTACAACCACCAGTCTTCTCCACATTGTTCTGACACCCAGGACATGGCTTGGAAATTTTACTGATCAACGCGTTATTGAGCTTCTCCACAGCGATCATTTTCTTGTCGTATTCAGCACACGTCCGTCCTTGATGAGCGTTGCTGTGCACAAAGCAGAACTCACGGTTGCAAGCCTCGCACACACATTCCGGATGGTCACTGCCAGCACAAATCTGCGAGTGGTCGCAATACGGACACTGTCGCGCCAGCTCATGCTCCTTGTTGAACTTAAACTTGTTGTATTTCTGCCAGATCTCGTCCGAAACGAGCGATTGAATATCATCCACCGAGATCTCCGCCTTGCACGCAACTTTATCCTCCGATTTTTCAAAAAAGCACTTCGGGTACACTTGACCCTCTTTGATCTTAAACTCCAGATAATTCCTCAGACACGCCTCGCAGAATGTGTGTCCACATACTGAAAGCCCGTACGATGTATTCACAGATGCGTAGTCGTAGCAGATTTGACATAAGAACGTCTCCTCCATTGAGAGACCAAGATAACTAGCCATCGACCGCAGCAAACTGGGCACCGAGTGGCTCAAGCTGTTGCTATCCTGTCTCCTGTATGCCATCGAGCTCAAGCTCAAGTCACTTTCCTTCTCCTCTTCAACACTAACAGACTCCGGTGCTCGACTAGAGGCAGCTACAGCCAGCGACATCTCATCTCCACTATCTCTGACGTCTGAGTCGAGCTCGCTCAAGCTCATCCTTGACAGCGGCATGGATCTACCGCGATCTCGGAAGCTGGAGCGAGTGAGCGCTCCTAATGTGTGACCGGAAGCGGCACGCACGAGTCTGGACATCCGATCCCAGCTGCCTCGTCGTGTGTCTTCCATGGTGGCCAGCACCTCGTTCTCCATGATCGGGATGGATCCTCGTCGAGGCAACATCTCGGAATCCGAGTCCTCCACTGTGAGATGGAACTCGGGAACCGTTGTGGAGTGCTTTGCAGTTGCGGAGGACGCTCGCGTTCGTGATGAATGACCATCACTCTCTATTGGTAGCGCCGAGATCTGATTCTCGATAGCTGTCAATAGTGAAGTTGCAAGTGCGTCCTGTTGTTCGGGGTTATGCTGCCGCTGTAGTTGGTGCAGTCGCCAACGCCAGCGCATGCGCTCATCTTCGCCGGAGAAGGACTGCTGCTGGCGCAGTGAGTCATACAGATCCGACAGGTACGTAATACGCTCACTGGTCGAAGCTGCGGTTTGCATCGTCAAGGTGGACTATGCTACTGGCGGAATTATGGCTTCACTGGCTTGAAAGGCGATAGGATTGGTGGAAAAGAAATAATAAAGTTTGGACCCTTTCGACTTCCGAGATACTTCTCTGGCCCGCTTCAAAATGACACTTTCATATATTTACCGATAATTTTGAAGCCTGACCTCGGCAGAAAGCGGTAAGCACAGCATTGAAAACCCCCCGGTTTAGCGCACCTGAGCATAATTTTTTTGTTGCACTAGCAACAGGTACGGATGAGCACCATGCGCTCAAACTCTCCGCAGTTTGAATCCCATGAGTTTTTTTGACGCAGTTCAGTCAATATTTGCGATATTACACCTAATTTTAAGGACGATTAAATTAGACGAATAGCTTCCATAGAATGTACCCGTGCACGCAGAAACGAATTAGAAGCTCTAAAATTTGGACACAAAGAGGGCGAGGTTTATTTCCAAAATCCGGGGCATAACGGTGAGCCACCAATTAAAATTAACCAATCAGAAGATAGATAAGAATTAACCAAATATTAATGTTTTTTAAAACATGAAATTAGCAATTGAACTTAATTATGAATCGATAAGCTGGCTGTACCCTTATTTTCTTGACACTATTGCGACAGAGGCCAAATTCCTCCATAGCCGTGCACACAGACCCCCGGAGTAGCTTGCCGCAGACACTGCGCTCGGCAAGGAACAACACTACGCGAAGTCGTATTGCAGGTGGGATGTCCTTTTTTTCGGGGGTTCTTGGCATCGGCGTGAGTGGGATATTGGAGTTTGTGAAATAAGCGTTCACCAGTGTCAGAATAGTGGTCGGGAGACAAGTATAAGAACTTGTCACTTTCTATCCAATCAAAACAATTTACTCGGTTATGCGCGATTTATTAAAACCCAATCGTCATTTTGAAGCGGGCCAGAGAAGTAACGCATTTCGAAGCAATTTTCGTTGAAAGGTTCAACTCGAAAAGCGTTCATAAAGGTTGGGACCCCAAAGTACTGACCCGCTAATACTCCCGATACAACACATTTCGAGGCAATTTTCGTTGAAAGGTTCAACTTGAAACACGACCGGCCATTCGCGTTTATTAAGACTACTTCGAGGGCTCTGGGAATGGCGCAACTGAAGGTTGGTCACTAATCTTGCACCTTGTGGTACACTGGTCATTGTCGGTGTGTTGAGTGCTGTCATCATCACACCGTGATTCAGACGAAAGTCGTTCAAGCACCTTTAAGTAGTTACTTTCGTTAATAGTTTCGTAATAACGGATTTGAAACAAGTTAAAGGTGCGCAAATTTTTAACTTTTAAATTTTGTCGTAAGAGGAAATTTGCGAGGTAAAATGGAAAGTAAATTGCACTCAAATAAAAAACCGACCAGTCGGGAGAGAAGTCAAAACCATCAAACACGAGAATAAATCGACCAAACGAGTGGGGAAGCCGTCTTGCCGCGCTTAGTGCTGGCCGAGCGAAGAAGTCTCGTTGTGCGGTGCTGCGTAATGACCGCGATCTGGTTCTAAACGAGAGCGGTTGAATTGCAGAGAGCATACAGATGAACTGCACAGCAGTATGTGTGAATTACACAGGCCAAAAATGTAATTCGCAGAAACGCCAGGTATATGGTGTGGAATCACAATAATTATGGTAGGAAAGCACAGTTTGGAGACCAAAGTAGTGTGGCTCACACGATACATGGTTGTCATGCCTGATCTAACCCAAGCCGCCACAACCACTCGTCCTCATTTCAAAACTTCGAACCAACAGCGGAAGCGGGTGACAACCATTCGAGCAGTGACACGGAATCCAGCATTACTCGCAAGATCAGACAATAGATAGGTCTTAGCAGCGCGCGGAGAGCAAAGCAAGTCAGAGTTTTCTTTAACACAAGTGCTGGCATTTGAGAGAGTGGTGACATTTGAGAGAGTGGTGAGTGGTGGCATTGAACAAGTGGTGCCGGCTAAACGTGTGGGGCCCAAGCGTTAACAAGGCAAATTGCTAGCGCGAAACACTGCAATACAGTACTATCGCCAAGCAAAGATTTGGCTCCTGGAGCAATTTCCTCAGCATCGAGCGTCACTGGAATCACGGCTGCTTAAAATGGGGAAAACTCTAGATAGCTTTTGTTTGAGAAGAGATGGTGGTGACTTCGTAACAAAAGCTCCACCATGTACGAAGGCTGACTTGAAAAAAAAAATGATGGTATATTTGTAAACTAATGTATCTTCTGAGAGTGATTACCAAGATGCTGCTCTCCTGTGTCTTCTCTAGTACCTGTTCGGGAGATCTTCCGACCTGTCGATGATCAAGAAGCGGAGCATCTCCATTGATGCTGCAGATGCCTTCTTCCTACGCTTGGTCCGTGTCAAGACATCGGAAGAACAAGGCCTGTCGCTCTTCCCGGGCGCCGACTTTTCTACGTGCCCCTTGCTCGTTGTCGCGCTTGCCCTCTCCGTTCAAGCCGCACCGTCCCCAGCTCCCATCGACAACCTGCCCGACCAAGTCCTCCAGACACCGACCTCGCTCTCTCCGAGTCCAACCCAAGAGAGCCAAGCCAAGAACCGAAGATCATCGAGCACCAAGCCGCTGTCATTAAACACCTTATCGAGAATTCCAAGCGCCAAGATGCCCGCATGGACATGCTAGAGGCAAAGCTAAACGGAGATCCTGTAGTTGCAACGCATAAAAGAAACAGGCAAGATGAAAACACAGCAGATGTGCGTGAGCCCAAGAAGAAACAGCGCAGAGGATCTGTTACGCACGCAACTTGGTTTACCTGGTATGCACAAGAGCCACGCTGGCATACCGGAGAACCAAAGCAGCAGCGATTGAAAACAAAGTTGCTGGTTGCGTTCATGAAGCTGTTTCTTGAAGACGGCTTCGTGCTCGACCAAAAGTCCGCAGACGACCGGGATCGAGTGCTTGAGCATGGGAAGCGCGCCGAGAATGTCGTACTCGCATACTTGAAGAAGGAGCACGGCATCAACTCCCGTGGATCGAGCGCGGTCCTCAAGCATCTCCAGGGAATCCACAGCGCCGGCAGTCTAAATGCCATGGTCCAACGCCATCGCCGACTTCTCCAGACACCTGCAAATCAAGATCCGGCTCCTGGCTACACGCAAGAAGTACTCAAGAAGGTTAGTAAGTAGTTAGTAAGTAGGACAAACAATCGGGATTCATGTACGTTCACCCTTCTTCGCAGCGCATAGTCGCATCTACATCAGTGCACACTCGTCGTTATCATGCTTGCTAGTTTGATCTTCTTCGAGGCACCCAACCCATGCGTAAACGACAAATGTGGCCCGGTTTGAACAGGCGTCCTCAAGGCCGAAGCCTTGCGCTCTTCCAGTTGAGCTTCACCGTTGGATGGGGGGGCACTGTTTGTCCTTGGAAGCTGTGCACTCGGTATGGCAGATCTGGGTAGTAGCGAGGAAAAAGTACGGCCAACGCCCATTGTCGGCGACGGCGTGATTGAAAGTAAGAGGCTGCTCACCACTTGTTTTCTTTATCCATCTTACACACAAGTAAAGCATTTTTACTGGCAGATAAGTAACCAATAGACAGTGGTAGCTGTGGCGACTGGCTGTCGCTTGTTTCTAATAACCGGACAGTGGAAAAATTATCCGGGCGATCGTGAGATCCAGCCTCATTGTTGAATTTGCCAGGTTAGGAGCACATGGTTCTCATACCAAACATGCATAGAAATACAAGTAGCGGCTTTCTCAGCCCAGAGGGCGTTTCAGGTCATTTCCTGTCGCCTATAAAACAGTATGTTTGATCACGCTTTAACCATACACATCAGCGTTTGACTCCGCTAAAACCTCGTATCTATCTGAGACAAACTGTGTGCAAAAGACAGTAAAATGTGTGTAGTACACAGGTCCGATAAGGTCATCGGGTCCGATATTTTTTGGTATGGTGCGAAATCACAGTTATTATAGTCGGAAAGCACAGTTCTGAGGCTAAAGTAGCGTGGCCCACACATTTCATGGTTTGCTTGCATGATCTCACCCAAACCGCCACAACCACTCGTCCTCATTTCAAAAGTTCGGTCGACAGCGGAATCAGGTGACAAGCATTTGCGCAGTAACAGAAATTCCACCTTCAGAAGCTATTTCAGACAGTCGTTCAATCCTTGGCGCGCATGACGCAAAGCAAGTCAGAGGTTGCTTCGAAACGAGTGGTGACATTGAGCGAGTGGTGATATTTCAGCGAGTGATTAAACTTGAGTGAGTGGTGGCATCGGAGCGTAGCGTAGCATTTGGGCAAGGGAGAGAGAGAGAGAGAGAGAGAGAGAGAGAGAGAGAGAGAGAGAGAGAGAGAGAGAGAGAGAGAGA